AACTTTGCAAGCCTGCCGGCCGCTATGCGCTGACTGCTCCCCACGTCATCCATGTTCCGTCCTCCCTCCTCCGACCTCGTCGCCATGCCTGGGCCGTGCTATGCACGGCGTCCTTATGTGGAACGACCTTGGCGTGGTCCAGCCTTGAACGCTTTCAGCGCGGCCTTTGGCTGGATCTACTCGGTGTCGCTCCTGGAGGGACATGCTGAGACCAACCCCTCAGACCACTCCGAAGTCTTGCCCCGTCCAGATGGGGTCTTTGGCCATGGATGCCAAATATGATCGACCCACGAACCCCAAGAAGGAATTTAGAAACGAAAAGCATGGCTGCGTTGTTAAGACGCCTGAGCGGGCGACAGGCAATTGCGATGCTGACCCACGTGTTTTGCACGTGGTCAGGCCGCCTAGGGACGGATATCTAACATGTGGTCGTGAGAACACGAGGTTCCAGCTCGGGGCAACCATGTAAGAAACCGCCCTGGGTGGCCTGGACACCCAAAATCACATGTTGCCAGCTCGGGACCATCATGTTAGAACCGCCCTGGGTGGCCTGGACACGTGACAGCACGTGGTTCTAGCTCGGGGCAATTATGTCCGATGCCCCTCTGGGTGGCCTGGACACGTAACAACATGCGGTTCCAGCTCGGGGCCACCATTTTAGATGTCCACTTCGGTGGCATGGACACGTAAAAACACGTGGCTCCAGCTTGGGACCACCATGCCTAGACACCCCAATGGGAAATCTGGAAATCACTTGCCGAAGAAAGTGTTATTACACATCTGGTGTCGATGCGTTGATTTTGTATGGATCTTGCGCCCCCCCCCCACGCTGGGAGCGCCCAGACGACCATATGTAAGATATGCCCTCCCCCCCCCCCCCCCCCCCCCCCCCATGGGCGGCCTGCGCACGTACAAAAACATGTATTTCCAGCTCAGGCCAAAAAATGGTGTCCCATTTCGATGGCCTGGATCCGTGAAAATACATGGTCACAGCTCGGGGCCACCACGTTAAATACCTGTAGTTGTTCCAGCTCGGGTCAACCATGTCAGATGCATCTGTGGGTGGCCTGGATACATGAAAAACACATGGTCTGGAAACAAGAAGCAACCATCTTAGATACCTCTCTGGGTGGCCTGGACACGTGAAAACACGTGGTTCCAGCTCGGGGCAACTGATTAAACAATCTCAGGGTGGCCTGGACGCGTAAAAAGACGTGGTTCCAGCTCGGAGCCACCATGTTAAATACCCCTGGATGACCTGGACACGTGAAACACACATGGTTCCAGCTCGGGACCACCATGTCAGATACCCCCTGTGGGTGGCCTGGACACGTGCAAGCAAGAGGTTCTGGCTCGAGGCAACCATGTTAGACACCTCCCTGGGTGGCCTGGACACGTAAAACCACATATTTCCAGCACGGTACCACCGTGCTGGATACACCAGAAGGGGACTCTGAAAAAAACACCAGCCGGCGAAACTGTGCCAAGGTATTCCACATTTGGTGTCGCTGTTGTGATGTTGTCTGCCTCTTCTGGGCCCCCACGCTGGGGGGCCCTCAGGCGACCGTGTGTTAGATGTCCCCCCGATGGGTGGCCCGCACACGTAAAAACACATGGTTCCAGCTCGGGGCAACCATGTTAGATAACCCATCCAGGTGGCCTGGACATGTAACACATGGTTCCAGCTAGGGGTCACCATGTGAGATACTCCACTGGGTGGCCTGGACACGTAAAAACACGTGGCTCCAGCGCGGGATCACCATACTAGATGCCCTCCTGGGTGGCCTGGCCAAGGGATGCGCCGCGTGACGTGCCCAGGGGACGCACCACGGAACGTACCAGGGAACGTACCCGAGGCCCACGATCCTGTGCGAATTACGCGGCGTCCGCGCTCCTAGGGCCAGGATCCCTTGTGAAATACGCTGCGTCCGCGCCCCCAGGGCCACGTTCCTGTTTGCAACGTGATCGGCCCACGAACCCGAGAACAAGTTGGAAACGCAAGGCATGGCCACGTCGTCGATTCCAAGACGCGTGCTGGAGCGACAAGAAATTGCAATTGCAATGCTAAAAGTATTAACAAAAAGTACCGATCGTGATGTACTGTGCCACGAGGTGTGCCTTGCTGTGCCGTGCGGAAATGAGCTGTGTTATGCCGCGGTGAATTGCGGTGTGCTCTCGGATCAAGTCGCCCTTGGCATCTGAAGCCTGACCGAACTGATCTGGATTGTAAGCTCGAGCTGCCTGAGCGCGTAGCTGGCCCAAAGCTGGTTGCAGTCGAAACGTGCGGGACGCTCAGCCAGCTCAAGCTCAAGACCCGATTCAGTTCCGAAGCGGGACGAGACGACAGGGCGCAGGGCGCATGGACGCGCCAGTGAATGTGCCAGGGGCGCACTAATGGGTGCGCCAAGGGACGTGCCAGGGGACATGGCAAGGGACGCGCCACGGAACGGGCAGGGAAAGCGTCAGGGGACAAGCCAGGGAACGCGACAGAGGAAGAGCCAGGGGACGTGCCGAAGGGGGGATGGGCATACGCCGTCCCGCTGTGGGGCGTTAAACAATTCACGTGAATTCACGCCTGTCCCGCCCTGGGGCGTTAGGAACCCATATAATGTCACGCCTGTCCCGAACTGGGGCGTTAGGGACCCACGTGTGTTCACGCTTGTCCTGCCCTAGGGCGTTAGGAACCCACGTGTTGTCACGCTTGTCCCGCTCGGGGGCGTTCGGAACCCACGTGAGTTCACGTTTGTCCCGCTCCGGGGCGTTAGGAACCCTCGTGTTTCCACGCTTGCCCCGCTTGGGGGCGTTAGGAACCGACGTGGTGATCCCTCGTAAATGACGGTGCCACCGCACTCCCAGAACCACTTGGGCATCCTGGGGCGCCCAGGCCTTTCCAGCCCTGCAAAATAATCGTTTCACTCTAGGTACCCTTAAATATTCGGTGCGCAGGGCGCGCCATCCTCGAGCGGGCACGCAAGAAGCCAACATTTCATCTGCAAAGCAAGCGCGGGGCTCGAGAGAGCATCGAGAAACCTGCACGCAGGGCGCGCCGTCCTCGAGCGAGCACGCAAAAAGACAACATGCTGCCATTTTATGTAAAGTTCGAGGGTCTCCGAGCCTGGTCATAGATCGAAGATTCTGCGCATAACGCTCTGCACCCCTTTAACAGAAAGGAAAGTGGAGGTCTGCGGGCCCCGTTATTTATCGAGGATCCGAAGTGGGGGGGGCACACTTTCCTCGAGGGGGCAAGCGCGACACGCATTCAAAAAACAAAATGGGACTTTATCCCGTCATTGATCGCAAATAGTTCCACCGGCCCACCCCCAGCACGGCACCAGGGACAAATTTTTATCTACCATCCTAACATGATCGACCCACAAGCCCGGAAAGGGATATAGAAATTTGAAGCATGGCCCAAGACGTTAAACTTGGGCGACGGGAAATTACAGTGCTCAGAATAACGATCGTAATGTACCGTGCACCGGGCTGTGCTGTACTGACCCGTGCTGTGCTGAGTTCGACGTGTCACGCCGCGTTGAACCATGCCGCGCCCTATTGCGTCGTGGATCAAGCCGTCAGTGGTGTCAGAATCGTGGCCGAGCTGACTTTGATCTTAAGCTCGAACTGCCTGAACGCATAGCTCAGGCTAGTTCTAGTCGAGACGCGCGGGGCGCTCGACCAGCTCGAGTTCAAGATCCGATTCAGTTCCGAAGCCAGTGCTCGACACATTCAGTTCAGCAACGGGACCACGACAGGCGGGGGAGAAACATGCGGGGCGTTCAACCAGCTCGAACTCAAGGTCCGATTCAGTTCCGCGAAGTGGGATGAACCGATCAGGGCACGAATCCGAACCGAAGCGAAGCGCACCGAGACGACGACGAGTCCCCCGCTCTACACCTCTCAAAACAAGAGAGAAACCAGCGTCTCGCGAGAGACATCCTCGACACAGCCTGCAGAAGGAGCCCGTTCGCTGCAGGCGAGGGCCTCGCTCGAGACATCCACAAAACCTGCCGAGCGAGAGCTTCGCCCGAGATATCCGCAGCACATACCCAGGTTAGGGAGCCGCCTGGGCGGCCCGGGCACGTCAAGACCCGCGCTTCGCTCGAAGCACCCTCGAAGGAATCCTCATGTTCAAGATCCGTCTGGGCAACGTGGAACAAGCGTTAGGTCGGACATGTCCCCCCACAGGCGGAGTCTAGAGGAAACGTGCAACATAGCCAAACAAACATTCAAACATTAGCAGAAAGTAATAGAAAAAACATCCACAGACCATGGTTGTATTATTTGGTATGTATTCCCCCTGTAGAGAGACAGGACCGACTTAAAACAAGCGTGAAAACACATGGGTCCCCTGCGCGCCAGGGCGGAGCAAGCGTGAAAGCACGCAGATCCCTTGCGCGCCACAGCGGAACAGACGTGACAACACGCGGGCCCCTTGCGCCCCAGAGCGGAGCAAGCGTGAAATTACGTGGATGCATTGCGCCCCAGAGCGGCGCAAGCGTGAAAACCTGTGGGCCACTTTCGCCCCAAAGCGGAACAGACGTGACAACACGTGGGTCCCTTTCGCCCAAGAGCGCAGCAAGCGTGAAATGACATGGGCCCCTTTCACCCCAGGGCGGCGGAAGCGTGAAAACACGTGGGCCGCTTTCGCCCCAGAATGCAATAAGCCTAAAAACACGTGGGTCCCCTCCAGGAAGCCCAAGGAGCGGAACGTGCCAAGTGATCCTGCATCCAGTGCCGAATCGTTGGGTTTGCTCTGCGTTTGTGCCCTCCCTCACGCTTGGGAGTGGGAGACAGCCCTTGGACCGCCCCTGGGTGGCCAGGACGCGTGACACACAAGGGTCCCTGCCGTCCCCGAGCGGAGCAAGCGTGAAAACGTGGCCTTTCGCTCCAGAGCGCAACAAACGTGAAAACACGTGGGCCCCTTTCGCCACACAGCGCAGCAAGAGTGACACGTGGGCCCCTTGCGCCCCGGAGCGCAGCAAGCGTGAAAAGACGTGGGTCCCGTTCGCCCCAGAGCGCAGCAAGTGTGAAAACAGGTGGCCCCCTTCGCCCCAGAAAGCAGTAAGCGTGAAAACAAATCCTATCTGGGGACAACCATGCTAGATACCTCCCTGGGCGACCTGGGCACGTGAAGAGAAGCATTTCGCCTGAGACATCCTCTACGTTCTGGCACCGAGCAGAGGAGCAATCTATATGACAAAACAAACGTTTCGCTCGAGACATCCTCAACACATTCTGCAAAAGAAGTGTTTCACTCGAGACATCCGCAACAAACGAAAACGTTCACTTCACAATGTGTTTGATCGTTCGAAAGTTGCAGAACCAGCGTTTCGCTCGGGGCATCCTCAAAAACGAATCCGCCGGCCCACCTCGACCTTGTTATTGTCAAAGAAAGAATCCGCCAGCCCACCCCCAACATGGTACAGGGGACAGACTACCATCCGAAAAGAGAACCCTGGGCCCAAGCCCTTTCCGAAAAAGAGAACCCTGGGCCGACGCCCTTTCCACGAAGAAAGCTTATGGCTGTGCCTTCTTTCTTCGTCGACTCTCCTTATTCCCCCCTTTCCTTCCACCTCCTCCTCTTCCACCATGTACGCATGATGCCTGAGCGTCTGCCATGGCTGCGCGTGGCTGAGCGGTCGGGGCACCGCAGGAGCTGGGCCCACACGGTCCAAGCCAGGAAAAAACGTGTGTCAAAATGAGCTTGGGCCAACAGAGCCGTGGAATAAGAGAGGGGAGGGGACATGGAGGGAGAAGGGAGGGAAAGGAGGATGGAGGAGAGGGGCTAAGCGCCATGGGGAGAGAGGAGGGAAAGGAAGAGGACGGCGAGGGGTCGCAGGGGGGGGCGAATGGAGAGTAGTATTGCTGACGATGGCGAGGAGATGGAGGAAAAGGGGGAAGAGGAAGAAAGGCACGAACAAACCCTTCCACCTGGACGCTGTGGTTAGACACCCGTCCTCTCGGGACACCCCTTCTCGGACGTCTGGCGGAGCTCTCAGCAGCCCTCATGGATGTATGCCGCAAATGAGCGGGGGGGGGGGAGGAAGAGGGGAAACAGGCGGAACGTGAGGGACAATGGGGATGGGGGAGGAAGGGAAGGAAAGGGGAGGGGGAGGGGGGATGGGAGGAAGGGGGAGGGGGAAGGAGAGGAGGAGAAGAGGTAACCAGAGGAGGAGAACGAGAATCGGAGGGGAGACCGTCGGACAGCCCGCGACCTTCCGCCCGACTCTGCCCCATTAGCCCAACCTGCTGGTCTCTCCTCATCAGCATTATCATCATCAACACCACCACCATCATCGTTCGCACCCCTCGATCACCTCCTCCAACTCCTCAGCATCCTCAGCACCATTTGGCATCATCAGCATCACCACCATCGTCACCACATTCACCACTAGAATCATCAGTATGGCCATCACTGCCATAGCCATCATCATCATCATCATCATCATCATCATCATCATCATCATCATCATCATCAGCAGCATCATCATCATCACCAGCTTCATCATCAAAACCACCACCATCATCATCAGCATCAGCAGCATTATCAGCATCATGTCACCATCATCATCCGCAGCATCAAGCAGCAGCACAATCAGAATCAGCAGAACCAGCAGCATCATCATCATCATCATCATCATCATCATCATCATCAGCAGCAGCATCATCATCGTCGTCATCCTCATCATCAACATCACCATCGCCATCGGCATCAGTATCACTCTTAGGAATACCAGCACAAACACTGTCGCCAATACCATCTCTCCACCTCGTCTGGCATCACAAGACACAGGCCCAGCCAAGCCAATGCCGCCCCAAGAGGTCGGTCCTCAAAGCGGCTCCAAGACCCGCACAGGACGTCCCAAAGATGATTCACATAGCTTATTCGGGGGGGGGCAGTAGAAACATTGCACTCAATGATCACCTCGAGGGCTTTAAGGGGCTTTCAGGAGGCCCCGAAAGAAGAACCCACTAAGCAGCGAACATAAGTTCAAGAGGGGGGGAACAGGGAGGAGTGGAGGAGGAGGAAAGAGGAAGGAGGAGGGTAGCAAGGCTGCTTACAAGGATGGGCCTTTACCGCACCATCCAGGCAAGGTAATGACATTGTACGGGCCGTCAACAAAAACTCCTCCCTGCTGGATAAACAACTCCCTTGTCTCGCAACTAGACGTGCCGGCTGCAGGGGACCAGGCATTTCTCCTGAGACTTGCTGACAATGTCTGGCAAACTTCCATCCAGCAGTAACACGGATGGAACGCGGCCCCGTTTGGAATGTGTGTTCTCACCGCAGCGCCGCCAACACAATCGCACAAGCAACTCCAACCATTACAAGCATCCAGGGCATACTGCTTTTAGTAAAGACGCGACATATTTACAGCTATCGATGATACGCTGGATTGCCACGCCACTGCTTCGCTAATTCATCCAACAGCTAAACGGTTGAGCGCGTTTCATTTTTCAAACACGTGCGGATCATATCATTAGTCCTCTGGGTCAGCGACAATCGAGCTCAACGTTCGTGGCACATGGTTGAAGCCAGCTCGAAACAAACTCCCGCCAGAATGCCGATCATATACTATTTGCATGAAGCTTATACTTGCGAACACTTGCAAGCGTAGAGGCGGTTCGTGTTTATAGTCGTGCTGTCGCCCGAGTGCTGCGCGCATGTTCACCAAAGTTTCTACCCGATGCACGGATGGGCGGCGGACTCATTGCGTCAGGTAAAACTTATGTGGCGAACATGGATCGAATAGTTGGTGCGCAACTCAAGTCACATCGGGCTCCCACCACGCAGGCCCGTGGGACATGCACCTTCCCAGCGGGTGCGTGCCGGAGCTAAAATGCACATCTTTGGCGGCGCACAAGGAGACGACTTCGAGCGCGAGGGCACACTGCAGCATCAAGGGCATGTGGCGGGCGTTTCTCTTCTCGCGCTCCTTTCTCGTTTTCATGCGCACTCCGCTGGCGGCCTCGCGAAAGCTGCGGGTCCTGTGGTCGGATTCGGGAGGACTCCGCGCATGCCTCCTCGCCGTTCCCCTCCTCCCCCTCGCATTCACTTCCCTGCCCTTCCTCCTCCTCCTCCTCCTCCTCCTCCTGATATTCCTCCTCTTCCTCTTCCTCCTCCTCCTCCTCCTCCTCGTCCTCCTCTTCCTCCTCGTCCTTATCCTTATCCTCTCCTCCTCATCCTCGCTCCCTTCCTCCTACTGTTCCTTCTCCCCCTCCTCCTCCTGTTCTTTCTCCTCCTGTCCCCCCCCTCGGCAGACTCCTCCTCTATTTTGTTCAGAACTACACAAATTATATCCCGCGTGGGCCCCAAACAATGTTTTAATGACCGTATTTACGTACTGCAATCAACGCGGTACATTGTATATCGTGCAACATATGTTCAGTCATGTGTATGGGGAAAGCTGCGTTGTTCAATCTACGTCGTGCAACGTATGTCGTGCAATGTTTTTTTTGGCCTAGTCGCCGTTTCGTCTCCGCTCCAATGCGTATCTAGCCACGGGGCCTCAACCGCCACCCCCACAGCTCCGGAACCGGGTACTGCGAGGGCTTTGGTTTTGGCCGCACTGTGTCCGTGGGCCACGATCAGCTGATGAATGCCGTGCCACCTCCCCAGCGACGCAGCGGCCAGAGCCGAAGGCCAGCGTTCAGAGACGACACTGCCCCTGAAGTTCATTGCACAGTGGCGTCGGCCCTCTGCCGACACTGCTTGCACACACTGTGTGCGCAAGCCCCAAGGGGTGTAAACAATAGGACAGATTGCTTACTCAGGCCCTCCAAGCCATCGGCCTCGCCTTGGCAAGACTCTCCCAGATCCAACGTTCACAGCAGCATTCGCACTTCTTTGCGCACGAGAGGAGGAAGAGGGGACAGAGAACTGCACAGCGGCCTGCTCGCGCCAAGAGCGGGCGAGGAAATGATGGCGACGGGAAGTCACCCGTAGCCCAGCTTCAAAGTGTTCCTCAACCCCTGCGGAGCAGAATGAAACCTCACAGATGTGCAAGCCGAGCGTGTCAGCACACGCAACGCAGACACCAGTAGATAAGGTTGAGTCTTTCGGACCAGGGTTGCGCAGTCGATGTTGGTTGCGCAATGTCGGTTGTGCAGTCGGTGTTGCGCAGCCAATGTGGTGCAACCTATGTGGTGCAACGTATGTGGTGTTATTCACCTTGCCGAATGGAACATTGTCATCGCCACTGCTCGCGAAATCATCCCACCCACCCATCCGCAATTTGGCTTGCAAAACCCATGTGGCGGCGATTTAGATGACTGCTTGGCGCTGGCTGGCGCGTCGATGCGGCCGCGCAGAACGGTCGGCTACTCTGGCGCGGCCGACGCGTCTCGCAGGCCACGCTGACGCGCGGGCAAGTCGGCGTGAGTCGGTGATCGGGCGGGCGCGGTACCAGGGTGACGTCGACAACGGCAGACACGATGATGATTGTAGCGATTGTGGCGACGACGATGACGATGACGACGGCAAGGCCACCGACGGCGCCAATGCTGATCACGCCGATGTCGATGACGGCGCCTACGCATCGGTGATGAAGGTTGGGACAAGGAGTTCGACATGCGCACGCGGCCGACGGGCGCGAGAGGCCCGCGTGGTATTACAGGGGTCACGCCCACCCCCCACCCCCCTCCAAGCACGCGCGCAAGGGTGCTCAAATGATTCCAACATGCGTGCGAAAGGCCCGATGGGTCGCAGGTCATGCGAGCGTTGAACATGATCGACCCACAACCTGGAAAGGAGTTTGGGAACACGAGGCATGGCCACGTTCTCAAGACAACCGGCTGGGTGACAGGCAATTGCAATGCTGAGCGGACCGATCGCGATGAACTGTGCCACGTATTGTGCTGCGCTGTGCCGTGCGGAAATGAGCTGTGCTATGCCGCGGTAAAATGCGGTGTGCTCTGTAGCATTGCGGATCAAATCACCACTGTCACCTGACCCCTGACCGAAGCGATCCGGATCTTAAGCTCGAGCTGCCTGATCGCATAGCTGGCCCAGAGCCAGTTGCAATCGAAACGTGCAGGGCGCCCTATCAGCGCGGGCTCAAGAGCCGACTCAGCTCCGAGGCGGGGCGAGACGACACGGGGCGCACAGCGCATGAGCGCGCCACGGAATGCGCCAGCGTCGCACTAGGGCATGCGCCAGGGGACGCGCCAACGGACGCGCCGCGGAACTGGCAAGGAAAGCGCCAGGGGACAAGCCAGGGAACGCGACCGAAGACGAGCGAGGGGGGGGGGGGGGGGCGAGAAGGGAGGGGCATGCGTAGCCCCTCTGCGGGGCGTCAGGGGCCCACGCGGCCTCGCGCCTGCCTCGCCCTCCGGGGCGCTGAGCGCCCGCGCGCGCTCGCGTTTGTCCCGCCGCGGGGCGCTGGAAACCCGCGCGTTTCCGCGCTTGCCCCGGTCGGGGGAGTTACGGGCCCGCGCGCGTTCGCGCTTGCGCCGCTCCGGGGCGCTAGGGGCCAGCGCGTTTAGCCCTGCCCCGGGGCGCCTGGGGCCCGCGCGTTGCCGCGCGGGCGCGCAAGGGGCCGAAAGAATTACCTTCTGCAAACAAAAGCGTTGTCGCGCTTGTCTTGCGCTGGGGCATTCGAGGCCCATGCATTTTCGCGCTTGTCGCGCTCTGGGGGTTCAATCCATGCGATGTCGCGCTCGCCCCGCTCTGAGGCGTTGGGGCCCCGCGCGCTTTCGCGCTCGCCCGGCCCCAAGGCGCTCGGGGCCCTCGCGCTTTCG